AAGACAGGGCATGATGCTGTGAGAATGAAGCCAAAGATATAGGGGTGATCCCCAGAAATCAAAGATGCTATGAATGAAGAACATTGGCTAAAGAAATCTGCAGGCCTTGGGTGGAGCCAGCCTAAGATAGGGGCCTTTTGCCAATTAACTGGCAAGGCCATAACGTGGGGGCCACCAGGCCCTTTGGAACTCATAGTTTCCATATGTCCCAGATGATGGGAATAGAGCAACAGGATTAATGTTTTTCCTGGTGACCTTTGGTCTTGCTTGCTTGTCCAGTGCATTTACGCCTCCTATTTCTCCTTTTTGGAATAGGAATGTTTACCTTCTGCCATTATTATAACTTTTTCTTGATTTTTTTATGGAGGTTCATAGCTAAGAGTTTGGCTGGAGTCTCAGAAGACACTCAGATATTTGAAAAATGCTGGCACTGTTGAGACTTTGGGAAAGGGACTTTTGTGTTTCCAGTTCTGTGCAGGATAACTGTCCTATGTTGGCAGAATTATGAATTCACCATTGTCTTTATTTGGAGGTTAAGATTTAAGAGGATATCTTGGGGTATGAAACTGACCAGGGGTGGATTGCACCCATTAATCATCAGCCAACTTCACTGGGTTAAGGAACACCTAGCAAGCTAATCGAGCTTGTTCCTGAGTGTGTCTGTGTATGTCATACAGGTGAGCCCGTGGGTACTGTTTAACCTCTGGCATTGTTCCCTTGAAATGCTTCCTGGCTGCAATAAACTAAATAGTTTTGCTCTGCCACACCCTAAGACCATGAAGTTTTTACCTTTGAGCCTGCAGAGCATGTACTGAATGTCTGAGACTATGAGCTGCACTACACGTTTACTTTGTAAATTGTGAGCACTGGATATTGTATCTCAGCAATGGACTCTGACTAACACAGGGATTTTATGAACAAAGTTTTCATGAACATTCTTGTACAAGTCATTTCATAGGCAGTCTTTTCTTACTGTCATGGAGCAACAGATTTGTGGAGCTGCAAAATAGGTGTATAATTTTAAACATGACCAGTTTTTCAAAGCTTTACTATTTTATATTCTCTGTAGCAATGTGTGGAAGTCCTGGTTGCTCTAAATTTCTGAAACATCTTTCTGACATGGTAGTGTCAAGATTTTATGATTCAGAAATGACTTGAGAAGAGTGTTCGTTCTATGCATGAAAATGTTTTAGATGTCAAATTACCTGTTCCATTAAAGGCAATCTCTGCATGGTGTGTGTCATTCAGGAATCACTAGGATTTGCTTGGTTAATCTAGCTTACTAGATGAGTGGATTCCTCTTTTCCATCAGTACTCCAAGTACAACTCTTTTGAATGATTATAGTTTTTTCTGGGCAAAAACAATATAAGTGTTTATGCTCTCTCAGTAGAATCTCCAGAGTTCTTGACATTTATGGAGTGTAGCAATAGATTCCAGACTTCATTAAAAATTATATGTGGAATTTTAATAGAGAAAAGCCAGGAAACATACCATCAAGTTTAGACCTTTTTAAAAAATACTTATATA